AACTCTTCAGGCTTTACCTCGTCACGTTCCCATTGAAATTCCTTGCTGCGCTCCCTCTCAATTGCTTTCTTAATGAGACCCGGCATCAAGATAGCAGTGTAGCCGGGCTCAGAAATGGCCGAGAGTGGTGTTACTGTGGTTAGAGATGTTACAGATATTGAGCTAGTCGGACTAAGCTCCGAGGTCTCTGAGGTTGAGTGGAGTAACGGATGGTTATGGATCCCGACAGTGCACGGCATCGCAGTATCGCCGCCATTGCCGCTGCTTATACTCGTACCTGAATTGGCAGCGTTGGCTCTGGACGATTCCCGTGCATCCTGAGGAGCTAGAATAGTCATCGAAGGCACTGAAAATTGACGAGATGCGTTGGTTTGCTCAACGCTGATTTCAGATACTGTCATATCCTGTAAAAAGAGTGAAATAAGGGGGTCGTACAGGTTAAGAGGAATTCGGTAATGGTGTATAAATGGATAAATACATAAGTCTACAAGTTTGGAGATGACTAGACAGACTCCCTCAGGATGGATCGACAAAGCTACAGATAGAAAGCAACGAAGCGAGGGTGAAAAGCTACAAATATAATTAATATAGTAGCTAGGAGAGGATGGCAGACATAGGAGGAAGCAAGTGGCTTGGAGTTGTCTTGGAGTTGTCTTGCGATAAAAAGTAAAATGAATCAAGCTGTCTAGGAAATCAATATATAGCGAGCATAAAAAGGTAAACACATACATACCCAAATAAATGCAAAGCCGTTGAGCATAATGCTCATTCTATTCATGCTAGTTAATACATGAAACAGGGCGAATCACAGCACGTGAGTACTCGATAATTTTCCAGACCAGATGTGATAGTGAATATGCAAACGAACGGAATGTGTGAGCAGTAAGGCCTCGGAGGGAAAGGTTCGTGACTAGTGTGCGCAGGGAAGCGTTTTGTTCAGTAAAATGAAGAAAACACCGAAAAGTGCAAATAATAAGGTTATGTATAATAGATAAAAAGGAAGAGGCTTAAGGAAATGAAAGAGGGAGATCATGCTCGCTGTAGGGAAAGAATATGGAAGAAGATAATGACGGATTTAGTAAATAAAGGATTTAATTTATTTGATACATCTCGAGAAATCTCTTCTAATTTTGGAATGATTTAATTTTCTAAAGTGTTCAATTCTTAATGTAGAAACAATAGGATGTAACCGAAAACATCAAGAACACCCATTCGCTTATTTATACTCATTTGAAGAATGAACGCAAAGTTTTAACCTGAGTCCAAGAGCAATCAATGGATGGACAATGAGATACATCTTAATAAAGGGTTACTTGCTTATTTAACCTTTTTATGGTGGGTAGTGAAAAAAATAGATTAGCAGGGAGGTGACTAGTTAGAACATGAAAACAAAAGAGTAGCGTTTTACAGCTACTGTTAGAGCACACACATTTTGAAGGGCGAGGAACACCTTTTCAAGACAGTGGAAAATTTACACTCCAACTATAAACATTGTGAACCTATTGCAATTTCCACATGCCCAACCATCAAACTTAGTAAATATGAATAAAAGAAGCGCAATCGAACTCTTTGTTAATCCACTTGTCCAAATTTGTAGCCATAACTGGAAGCTTTCCCTCTCAAATAAGTCATTAATCTATTGCTCTCTAAAAGATTCGTATCTATATTTGCATGTTAATTGAAAAAAATTAGACTAAGACAAAGAGGCTGTCTTTCCCAGCCGAGGGGATACTAATATCATTTTAGAGTTAAACCAACCTGGCAACTAAGAAAGTAGTGTAAAGTGGACATTAAAGTGTCATGGATATTTAGTTGGCTCAGTAAAATCTGCTGTGTAAACCAACCTAAGAAAAATTCGAATCCTAGCGGCCCTCCTTCATAGTCACACTCCAGAATTTAGTTGTTTGGCGTAGCGAGATTTCAGCAAGATTTGTTTTCAAGCAATGCTCAGAGGATTAATGCATAGAAGAGCCCATTGTTCATAAACAAATTTGATGCAAGATGAGCAGCAGGAAGGGTTTATTCAGAGGTATTTCTGGTATTTAGTTATAAAAAGGATAAAAAGATGATCAGAAAGAGGGATTGATTTCACTCACAAATAACAAAATTCCAACTGTTATTGCTATTAAATAATAGCCTTTCTATCTTCACCTCACACCATATTATTTATCAATATCCACGTAGCTATGGTCACAGAAATCCTGCCACCTGAGCGAGAGAACTTGTGTCCAAACAATTGTAGTGGCAGGAATAAAATAAATAAGAAGGCCAGTCCGAAACATCTTGTCAAGTCCTGCTATTGGGTGCAAAGATAAAGTATACTTAAGATCATGGGGAAACCAAGACAGGCATATATCATTCTTATAGTGGAGCCGATGGCGACAATAATAAGAATAGATAGATTAGGTGGACTAAGGACGCACATATTTAATTAAACTCTTCCCAGTCTTGTGGAAAAAATGACCCAGTTTCCTATTAATTCCACCTCAAACATTTTTATTGATCTACTTAGTATGAAGGTAAAAGAATTCGGGATCCTGAGAGAGGGCCAAGGTGAATAGCAGGTGTGATGAGGACACACTAGATTTGCCACAAAAGGACACACATTTTGACGAGTGGAATGTAAACAAGTGAGAAGTTTTGATAGAGCGGCAGTTGGATAAGAGGGTAAAGAGTAGATAGATAGGCCAGGACATAAAGAGGAGTGATAATGTAACCGTTTCCAGTAGAACGTTTGTCAAGGGATTGACTTCACTTGTCTTTTTGACGAGTTCGTAGCTTGGTGCGGAGAATGGCAGCATTAACCGATGATGCCGACTACGATGCCGGCGAAACGTGTGAGAATGTACCAAGTCCATGGTCTGATGCTGGGAATTATGATAACCACTAATGCAGAAGACTTCTGATAAGGTACACTATACTAAGTCACCCTGGCAACAAGACCAAGATGCAAAAACGAGGTCAACCCACTTCTGTCTATTCTTCAATTCAAGCTATTCATAGTACAATGTACCTAGAAAATCTCACCTAATAAACAATGGTATGCACAAAATGTGCTCATTTAATGAAATGTAAGTAGTCAAAACAAGTCCCAAAATACACTACAGCTGTTTGTTATTTGCTATTTTAGAATTTCCTAGATCATAATGAAATATTTCCTACTTCGGTGTTGAAGGCCAATTTTATGACCCCAAATAAGGGTTACCATCAGATCAGGTCCAGCATAAACACCTTCAATTCAACTTATTTCGAGTTATAAAACTTGCCTATCAGAAAGAAAAGTGACCCTGGCGACTACTCATAACAACAGCAGTCCAGTCATTAAATAAATGGTCTTTATATGAAAGTCTTTCATATTTATTTCTTGATTTTACCCAAGTTTTCATAGATTACCTTTCTTAATAGAGAATAGTGCTCGCTGAGAGCTCAGATATCCTTAAAGAACTTGACCTTATGATACAGTATTGGAAAAGGAGGAGAGCTTGTCAGTTCGGCTTTCTGGAAAGTTGTGAGTATATAAAATTGGCTGAATACATTTTGCTTCATGAGAAACAACCCCTTTAATGGTGACAAATTCCAAGGCTAGCATAGGACATTATATCCTAAAGAGTGATGACAATCTCAAACTTAAAATAAACTCCAAGAGAATAGATTGCATTGAATCGAACGTGGTAAATTCAAGGCCAAAACGATAAAATGTCTAGTACAACGAGAACGATAGTTCAACCCAGACTCACTCAACAGGTCAGCGTTGATGAAATACTAGGAAGAAATTATCAAAACGTGGAAAAAAGCTTTG